TAAACTCAGAAACACATCCTTAGCATCTGTCATAAAAACTTTTATCTGCGCAAAAAACAACAAGATATTACGCTCTTCATAATATTCACAAGTGTATTCCATTCCTTGAAATGTCTAGGAAGACTTCAGGATGTTCTCGAAGAATCTATCTTGTTCTATGAGAATGTGTGGGTGTGTATCTTCTGTTTATCAAAACTCACAGTAATGCTAGTTGTACACCACTGTGCGAGGTTAATCTTGTTGGTTTATTGGAAGCTTGAAAATATCTTTTACTATATTATGATATAGGTTGCGCTGAAGGCCGATTCTGAAATCGATTTTATGTGGGTGAATCGAATGCCTATGTGGTATCGATATGAAACATTTCAATTTGTTCGAAATCATATTTCCAGAATCTGGAACACATCATTTGACGATGCTTTCGCCGAGTTTTCCAAAAGTCTTTATAGTCAGTTCAATATCATGTCTTCGTATGCATCAAAATTTGAGGGCAAGCATTATCGGGTAATTTTGAATACAGATACAAATGGCGCTATTAGCGTTGGTAGTAATGGTGGTGTTCCAACCGATATTCGCATCGGCTGTTGCCGTTCATTTGACATCGGATGTGTTGGGTCAGATAGAAACAACGATGATCATCTTTTAACTTATGGTACTAATGCTGTAAATGCCGTCAATCGAACAGTGACTACTGAAGCGTACTATAAAAATGTTTATGCATATCTTAAGCAAGTACGACCCGATGCTCTAGCTCGTATGAAAGAAACATGTGATCTATACTTGAAAGGGCAATGGAAGCCATTATGCACTGTTGATAGTATTGCAAAGATCAAACAATGAATAACTAAAACAAACAAACTGAAGTTTATATGTGGATGAATTTACTACACTGTTCTTAGCTGTTGCTTCTCATCAACTAACATTGAACAAAAAGTACGACAGAATTATGGATATCGTATTTTCAATAGGAAAGACTGGTATAGCTTTCATTCTATTATGACTTCAAATTCATCCATGCTATTTTCATAAAGTAGTTGCGTAAAAGGAATACAAAATTAAGTGAAAAGTATGCTGTTCACAAATCTATGATGAGAAGCTGTCATGATGAATGCTATAGGCTTCCTTAAGGAGTACTTCAGTTAATTTACACCAATCCTCTTGTAGGAATTGATATATATCAAAATAATATGATCAGAAAGATGATGGTAGATTTATGTTATGTAATCGGAAAAACAGATGTCTACTTTATTAAGGAAGAGGTCACTGCTTGAGAATAATAGAGTAAAACTAACATCATTCTAAAAACCATAGTTCCATGAATACTTTGAAGAAGTTTGATAGTCAAATTTGTGACAAATTACTGACTTGATAATATTTAGTCACAATCAACTAAAACGTTACATATAAAATAACTCAAAATTTATGCGAAAGTCTGATGGTATCTGCGATAGTTCTAAAAACATTACTTTGTATTTGTATCCTGTTTGGTGTGGGGTGTGGATATGATGTGTGGATTCGCCTTTTTTCTGAAAGCTACGCTCACACCACCACATCACGCACCCATACCATCGCCCCCTCTCCCCCCTCCCCCATCGCCCCTGCACATTCCACACTCACATCCACATCCACACACCAACGTCCACGTTTCTTCTCGATAATTATGTTACTAGCTTATTGACGACTGAAAGTAGTTCCACGTTCAATTGTCTCGTCATTTTTAAGAGATTTGGATGTGCAAGTTTCAATTTTCTATTCGGCATTATCACTAGTGACCAATCATAGTTATATGACTAGAATACAAAATAAGAAACATAGTCGAAGATTCGAGTGTTATCAAACAAGTCAGGAACAGCCAAAGCTCATCAAAACAAAACATCAGACAAGTATATCACGTCCTTATTTTTACAAAATGTAGCTGAGCAAAGTCCATCCCATTGGGATATAGTAGATAAAATTGTCATGTTCATAGATGCCTGATATAATTTTTCAAACTGTGCCTAAAAAATAATAAAAGAATGGTAATCGATGTTCTAGCGTTTACTCTGAAAACACGAGATCATTGACATTATGGACTCTGAGTGGATTTGGTACATCAAATCGTATGAAAGTTTACGCTGATCGAGCATATTCCACAGAGCTAAACACGTGAAACTCCTCTCTGGTGTTAACTCTTTGACGGCGATGGCTGTATATCATAAGGTGTGGGCAGATCAAACTTCAAGTAAAATTATTTTTTTGCCTTTTTTTACATCATCTGGTAGAGCTTGAGCTGCTGATCACGAAAATCTACATTTTAGCCTCAGTAAATGCTTCCTTCCGATCGAAAAATACGAAATACTCGAAAGGTGCCTTTTTTCGAGAAAAACTCATTCTCTCTAGAAATGTATGAAATTTTCCACCTTAATCTGTTTTTTGCTTCTGAAAATAATTTTTTCAGATTCAGCATCAAAAATTGAGTAGAATTAAGTTGTTAAATCAACCAAAGACCCAAAACTCTATTGGTGGTAGCACTTCGAATCGCGTCGAGTGCACCGCGTATAGGTCGATTTTGTAACCCTATCTAGTTTTTCTACGTAAGCGATAAAGGCAAATACTTTATCTCATTCGACTCATCATACCAGCAGTTACAAAGTTACAGAGCACTTTTTTTCCTTTTCTTTCCTTTGTCGAGAAAAGTCGTTTTTACTAAATTCGGGGCAAAAAGGCGGGCATTCTGCCGGTATTTC